CATTCGACTAAYGCTCCCACCACTGACGATGGCACTCACACTGCCCCCGTAGTGYCRTTGTCRATAGACRAATAAGCTGTAGGGATACCCTCTCAATGACATCATCACTATCCGGAACACTGTAAAGAGCCTTTGTTGCCAAGACGGGTTTCCCACCACGCACCCAGTAGATACAACTCTAGTTTGCTCTTCACCGGGTCTCTCATATTATCCAACCATTGATATTTCCATTGCTACTGGTACTGGCTATTCTTATAATGACTACCAAGAAAACGAACTTATCAAAAGGCTAGAATGCCTAAAACAATCCAGAAAAGAGAATGGCAAATTTACTCCCGTGCATCGAGGATGACAATTATCCCTCCCTCTCACTCCTAAAGTACTTCAATAATACGTGTTTCTAAAAACGAAACACTAAGGGCAGCGTCCGCGCCGGAACAAAGGTGGTACGAATTTCGGGGGGACAACAGCATACAACAACGTAAATCAAGGAATGGTGGTGCCCTAAAATACAGAAGGCAGAATGACAAGCAGTGATTATGCCAATCTAGAAAACTACGGGTCCATGGATAACAGACGGATTTTGTGCCAGCCTAGAGAGCGACGGGTTCCATTTTTCAGCAGAAATCTTCGTTAGTGAATATAGCCACGGAAGCACCCTGGTTCAATATGCTGAGAAGAAGCGCTAAAACCATGCCAACAAAGTCCTATGCGTCTTACTACTAGTAATTTAAACACCTTGATATCCGCGAGCGATTATTATACCCTATGAGACAACAATCGTACCCTAAAAAATTCAGCTTAAAAACAGAGTTATAAAAGAATTAGGCCCATCTGACCTAACATAATAACGAATACCGAGCAGTTGCTTCTGCGTCCTCAGCCCCTGATGGCTGTTCTTGGTCTTGTCGGTAGCTCATCTCTACTGTTGCCCATCGTTCCTCCTGCTGTTACTGAGTAGGATAGGTTTCACTCATATCCTGCTGGTAGCAGCTTCCCCTTAAATGAGGCCAGAAACCTTCAGACACCGGAGTATCATCGCAAGCGCTCCCACTCCCAACGAGAGTTACTCCCACTACTCTCGGCGGCATTGCTAGGATGATGCTGCAGCCCCGAAGCATGGGCAATCTTCTTCCCTGCACGATCTCGCACCTGCCAGCGCAGGCCCGAGTGGTTAACCTCTCATAGTTACTTAGGCAAAGCAAGGTAGGTAAGTTGGAAGGTTCCAAGGTTTATAAAGTGAGTAAGTGGAAGGACTGACAGGGGAACGCCTAGGGACCATATTACTGAGTGCAAAGGCACTCCCACTCCACTCAAGGAGCGGTTTGAATATGGCCACCATCGGCATAGCTCAGCTATGTCGACCTCTAAGCGTGGCGCGGTGTTGTTCCTGAACGAGTGGCCATGGACTTGCCCCGCTTACCCGGCAAGCGTCGGCTGGCCATGGTGCGGTAAGTCACCGCTAGTTCATCCCTGAATTAGCGCTGAATTAGCGCAGCGTCGCGCTACCGGACGCCTGCCGGTCCCCAGGCTGGGGTCTCCAATCTTTAGAGAGCTGTTCTTGAAAGGGTTTCAAGAGGCTGCCACTCTGACAGCTCTTGACTGGCCCAAGTGTCAAGAGGCTGTGTGGCGATGCAGCAACTCTTGAAGAAGAGTTCTCAAGCGTGGTGTGGCGAGGACCATAGGTAGCATCCAGCCTCTACAAAAAAAAAGGGGGAAGAAAGGGGGAAGAGAAAGGAAAAAAGAAAAGATTGCCTTTCACTTTTTTTTTTTTTTTCGGTTCGAAAATACTCGGCCTCCGACCTTTCAGGAGGCCGAAACGAAACGACGGCCGCCGATCAGATTGATCAACGTTGGGCTCGGCCTCCTGAAAGTTCGGGTACTGGCCAGGGCTTGTCGAAACCGGAGCCGAAGGTACTGGTGGCTTAAACAGCCCTGGCGGGTGCTAGGGGTGCTGGTAAGATCAGGCACCGCTAGCATTCCAGGGGGAGGTTCCATCTATTGGTGGGGAGCAGCACCCCTTGCCTTTCACTCTCTATTTGGGAAAATCCTCCTTTTTTTTCATGGTGAAGAAAAAAAGGCTTCTTCCCTCTTCGTCTTCCCCCTCCTCTTCCACCTTCTCCTCCTCCTCCCTGCTTCTTCTCTCCTTTTCCTCGAACGATAATCCACCAATACCATTCGGCGGGTAAGGCATACACACACTGGGACGTCTTCCCCCGAACAGAACGCACAGTCGTTTTGGCCGTATCTAGACTGAAAGTTGCCACAAATGCAGCTATTATAATGACCGTGCGTTCTATTCGGGGGAAGAAGGTAGGAGATTTGGAGGTGCATCTGCCATTGTCGAGGCCACCACATTCATTAGGGAGCACGCCCTGATCTGAGCAGAGTACGCTCTGAGCCCTTTTTTCCCCCTCCTCCACCTGAACTGCCCCCCCTCCTCCTCGTTGCTCATTCGGCCTCCTCTGCTCTTGCCTCCTCCTTTCCATCTTCATGCTCGTTTCCTTCTTGTCGTTCCTCCTCGTCATCCGCTCCCCTCGCTCTTTCGTCTCCTCCTCTCCCTCCTCCTTTTCCTCCTCCTCTCGCTCGTTCTCCCTCCTCTCCCTCCTCGTCCTCCTCTCGCTCCTCCTCCTCCTCCTTCTCCTCTGTCCTTCGTCCTCGTCCGTCTTATCTCTCGATCATCTTGTTTGGCACCACAGCAGGTTGATGACAAATAACAGGGTGCCACGTGGCATGCACCCATGATAGTGCTGTGCGTTTTTTTTTTTTTTTTTTTTTTTTAAGTGCTGTGCGTTTGGCTACAACTGGAGCCACGATACCTAATTTTTGCAAAAGAAAAAGAAAATGAAGGAAGGGGTGTGTTTGGGGAAACAGAGGTTGAAAAAGAGTTAGGAGGGAAGGAGGAGAGGGCAGACAGTAAGGAGAAGGGG